AAGCCAAGAGTACCATTATGTTTCAAATAAAAAATACTTTGGGGAGTATAATTTGGTGAAATATGAGCAAAGGTAAATACCAAGAAGCAAGTTGAGAAAATATACCTTTGCAAAGAAATAAATTATATTTTCAGCAGCACTGACTGCATTTTGAAGAACAAGTGGCTCAGGTTCACTAATATTAGAAGCTTTTCCTTCTCCTTGTTTTCTTAGGTTCAAAAGCAAAAAACACTTTTTTTCTAAGTTTTAAATCTTCAAAATGAAATGAGTCTCAGGTTAAGTTTGTTGCTATTGATTCAGCTACACTCGGGGCTATTTCTAATAGCAAAGATCTTTCTCCTGTGTAATGAGTCAAATGTGCTTATTGCAAAGATATACCGGACCTCTAACTGCTGCGGAAGTAAATAAATGTACACCATGAGAAATGGGGACATCTTCACCTCCAAGCTCCGAGGCAAATCTGAGCCTCAGAGAGCAGATGAGAGGAGAGTCACCTGAGAATGAAGCACTGAGGTCGCTGCTCTTGGAACAGCTGGTGGAACGCTCTCTCTGCACAGGAGAAGAGGTGAGGCGGCAGTGAGGAGTGCAGCTTCCCCGAGGTGCTGAAGTACATCTGGGAAACCTGAAAAATGGGTCAGGAAAAAGAGAAAAATCTCCGTGAAAAGGTTCTAGGACCCCTTATCCCACAACGTGATTGGCTTAGGCCCTATATACAAAAGCAAATGAGTCTCTAATTTTGGATCTCATCTGTATGTACAAAACATTTGTCAAATTGTATCTTTCTCAGCACATTTTAAGTATGCCTGACAAAATCGGGGCTTATATTCTATCCTTTATTACATGATCCACAAGCTTTAAATTATTTTACTGCCTTAAGAAGAGCAACTCCCAAAAATCCAGTTTAATAGATATCCATCCAGTAAGCCCAAACTGTGGTAATTTACATCAAATGCAATTTTCTCTCAGCAACATTTAATTTCAATAACATAAAATAGCAAGAGTTTTAAACTTGAATGTGAGGGGCAGTTGCAGCTGAAACACATATAAATGTATGAATTTCTCAGTTAAACAAATTGCATTAACTTAATTTTAGTGAAATGGTGATTTATAATGATTGCCATGGTAATTTATTTCTAGTAGTTCGAGTCCTTTTGAGTTTCTAGTGAATATTGTTACATCAAAAAAAAAAACCAAGAAAAAGAAAAACTCCCGGGCAAGAAAAAAAAACAAGGGGAAAAAAAACTCAGGAAAAGGGCCAATAACGCCTAAGAAAAAAAAGCAACCGAAAAGGGGCCTGCCCCGGGGTGAAAACAAGAAGGGGCAACCAAACCAAAAAACCAAATAATTAAAACATTTTCTATCCTACCCAGAAAATAAGTGTTACAATCAAACTAGACACATTGTTTTCTTAGCGCATCTTTAAAGCTGCATCCCGCATCCCGATCTCACAAGTAAGTACATGTGAGAAAATACAGAATTTTTAATTTAAAATGATTTTCAAAGAGATATCAAACCAATATGGATGGTGGGGACATGATTGTCTATTGTATTCTACTCGAACTTTTTTTATTTTTAATTATTCCAGAACTTTAAATGAATAGTGGAAATAACTAAATGCTAGTAATGTAAACATTATGTTTATAATTCATAAAACAATTAGGGGGTTTTATCCCAACTTCATTTTCTTGCAGGAAAAATGTCTGTTCTTTTTCATTTCTCCCCAAGTCTAACATGGACCTAATTTAATTTTGACAAAATGCTTTTAAACTCAGTTTGTTTTGTAAACTGCTATGAATTTCATTAGCAGTTACAAGCAAAGCAGACAACACAGAGAGACTGGAGCATGTATCCATCTATGTGTACATGGAGTTCATTTCATTTTCTTACTGCACCTCTATAAACCTATTTGGGGTTACATATTCTCTTTAGGCCAAGTTTTACTAGCGATTAGACGTGGCGATGGATCTTGAGTGTCTGAAGAAAGTTTTTTCATCATAATCAAACTCAAAACCTTTTGCTTTTCTTGTAAGTCTCTTCACGCAGTGTTAGAGTTGGTGCTGTAGAATAGTACACTGCTACCAGCTAGTGATGCTGGCTTGATGCTCATTATATGCTTTGTAAACAATATGGTTATGGAACTAATAATGGTAGCTTAACGACATAGTTTCTATTAATTGTTTTTATTGAAGCTTGAGGATTTCCACCAATGCAGTTCTTATTTTCTGAGTGACTGGCATGCCATCTAACCTTTATTATAGGGGTCATCATTATCATTATTAATATTACGTTGTGCTCTCATGTGGCCCAGCACATGTTCTCAGGGCAGACACTTCCTTCCCCACATGCCTTCTCTCTTCACTTCACCACCTTCTTCCCCAGTGATGTCATTTGGAACAAGAGGATTCTCACTCAGTGGAAATTTTAAGTGCTCAATTTTAGCTCAGAGGCGAGACGGCAAGAGGCCAGCCTCTCTACCTTTGCTGCACTCTCTGATTCAAGTGAATAAGGTCCTTCTTTCTCTAGTGATCAAATCTCTCCTTTTTTCACTGTGCGTGATCTTCCCAATAAACTACCAGAAGATTGCAGAATCCTGCACACCTGCTCTGATTCCTGAAACCACTCATCCACTTCCGTAGCTTAGGCGAGAGCCACCTAGGTCCAAGGCCCCTGCTGGGATCCTGGAAACCTCATGGGATCACGCCCTATGCCAGTGGCTCCACATGGCATGAACTGTTGGTTTCATGCTATACCACGAACATCTCACTCACCTGCCTGACTAGATTTCCTACTCATTATCTATGTATCTATGTATAGGTGACATATTCTGAAAAAGTATGTCTTTGTTTTTGCAAATGATCACATATAATTAAAAAATATATTTGCCACTGGGCTCAGCATTTGTGCTGCTGAGAGCAGTCTGCCGTGCATTTGTTCTGGAGTTATCTGACCTGGATTTGCTATCTCTGCCACTCGTGGGAAGACTTTAGAAAATCTGAAGTCACAGTTTATTCATCTGCAAAGTGGAAATAGCAATTCTTATACTGATTGGGTTGCCGTTTAAGATTAAATGTGAAAATATGCAAAGCCATCTGACGCAGGTCTGCCATGTAATAAGCCATGAACAATGGCAGCTACTGTTTTTATTTGCCAGATTTTCAGTTATTCAAGTTTTGAACTTCTCGCTTTTATCAAATTGGACTGTGCGTTCCTCTAAATGGTCCTATATTTTTTGATCCTCATTATGTGGCTGTAGTTAATTCTCCTGCCCAAAATATACTCTCTTCCCCTCATCAGAATCTTGCTAATTCTTTAAGACTTGCCCCAATCACATTTCTTTTCTATGTAATGCCTTTTTTAACTCGATACGATGTGTTTCCCTTCCAACCTCCTGACTTATCAATACAGACTGAACACCCTCATACAGCCATTCCATTGTTGTCCTCAGCTACAAGGGAAGTCTGTGATTACTTTTTATTGCTATTTGTGTCTTCTCTCTAGAATGTCTATGCAGTTCTTAAGGACGAGGACGCTCTTAACCTAACATCCCTAAATATTTAACACAATGCATTGTATTAACAGATTCAACGAATGTTCAATGACTTGACAAAGCATCTTTGTTCTAAAAAGTTTGCTTTTTTGTAAAGTCCATGCAGAAAGATCTGGCTACTTTTCTGTTTTCTCCTTTTTCTCTACATGTTACATGTTTAAAATGAATGATGTTACTTGGCTTCAATGTAAATGGGCAGCACAGTCATGAACCCTGTCCCCTGTTGGTTATATTTCATTTGGAACTGCCTGTCCACTCGCCCGCTGAGTCGCACTTCTCCGTGACTGTTAGCATCAGATCCGCGTTGCCATGGTAGCACTGGGCCTCTAGCTGCCATGCATTTAGACCAGTCGTGGAAGGAAGTTTGCCACAAAGGGTGTTCAACTTCCGTGATTAATGACTTGTTAGAAATAAAAAATGAATATTATGCAAAGGCTTAATGTAACACGGTTAATGATAATAAAGTAAGATACAGATGTTGCATGTGAATTTTTTTAAAACATGAAACATAGAAGTCATTCTTCTAGTCTTTATAAACTTAATACATAAAATTATACTTAATGTTTTATTTTCTTTTTTTAAAAGGTAATCAATGTAGGAAAAAATCAAAATATTTGAACAAAATGTATTATTTAAAACAACAGACATACATATAATGATAATCAATAGACACAAAAAGACATAAATTTTGTGTGTGTATCCAGAGCACAATAATATCATTTTAATGTGATTCAGTACATGAATGCCTGATGTTAATTGTTAAGTACTAATATTGCTACAGAAGACACTTACTAATTCAACATAAAACTTATGTCTTTGTATCAACCTAATACCTATAATTTTATGGGTTATTACATGTAAACCAGAGTACAAACTATTTGATTCTACATAATGAATGTGAAATCCAAAAGCACAAGACATTTTTAAATTACACTGTAACCCATTGAAAGTAGATAATTTTTTTTTTAATATTGAGTATTGATTGATTGATTGACAGGGTCTCACTCTGTCACCTGGGGTAGAGTGTAGTGGCACAATCATAGCTCACTGCAACCTCAAATTCCTGGGCTCAAGTGATCCTACTAGCTCAGCCTCCTGAGCAGCTGGGACTACAGGTGTGAGCCACCACACCTGGCTAACTTTTATTTTTGTAGAGATAGGGTTTCACCATGTTGCTCAGGCCAGTCTCCAACTCCTGGCCTCTAGCGATCCTCCCACCTCAGCCTCCCAAAGTGCTGGGATTATAGGAGTCAGTCACCATGACTGGTCAAAAGTAGGCAATTTATTATAAGCTGTATATCATGCATATTTTGTCTAATATATTATTTCTATTTATTTTCCTTTTTT